AATAAATAAATAAAAATAAATTAACTAAACTACTACTAAAGAATACTATTAGTAGTCAAAAGAACTATTCATAAAATGGAAGGACTGTTGCCAGAGGTAAATATTTTAATGCCATTTTTTTGTTTATAAACACACATTAAAGAGGCATTAGACTTATTTCACATACTATACTCTTGCTCTGAAATATATCATCCACAACTTAGTACTAGTTAGGTTGAGCAAAACAAATAGTCCAAAGTATTGGTTCAACACAGATAAACTAGTTTATTGATTAGATGTACAAAACATTTCCAATCAATAATATATGTATACAAGTGAATTTGTTTGCTGTAACAGTCACATAGAAAACCATGGAATATGATTTTAGAAATTGGTATTTATACCTTAACTTGAGTTGTTTTGGAGAATAGCTGTGCAGAATTACCTAATCTCCATCTGCTTAACTCATATGCAGAAGTATAAAAATATCAACATACCAGAGTTGCAACTATTCTTTGTTTTGTTTCCATCTGGTATTCTTGAAAGAAGAAAAATCAGAAGATCAGTACAGAAGAATTATAGGACTGGTTATAGGACTGCTACAGAGGAATAATCCTTACTGAGGATTTTACTGGGTTAAAGATCAGAAAAAAATGTAGTTATGGCCTTGCTATGAATAACCAAGGATTGTGGACATTTGGCCACTTCTTTAGTGTATATAAGTTACAATTCGATAAGTGTATAAAATAAAATAAAGCTCTGAAATAACAGAATATATCAAAAATTGAGAGGAATAGAAACTGGCAAGAGTGCCTTTTCGCATCATCAACAAAACACAGATAGCTAGGTTTCCTGCACAGTGAGTCAGAAGTTATTTGGAGGTAAGATTTAACTTCATGTTTAATAGTAAGAATGTTTATAACAATATACTTCTATATTTAAGAAACTGTACAGAGTAGCATTCCTTCTCTGTACTCTCTGGGACTGTTGAAAGTCTTATGTGGTAATAGCACCCCGCAATTTTCCTGTTTTATTGACTTTACTCTTACTTGTTACTTAACATAAATAACCAGAGCTCACACACATTTTGTGAACTGCTTGTGAGTGATTCAGATGCAGATGCATAAGTAAAAGCACCTTTCAGATATCCCTGAGTATCCAAGACTTCTACAAGAGCAAACAGGAAAAAGCCTGATGAGATGTGGGATCTGCGCTCTTACGGAATTGCAACTTGGACCCAGTTGTAGTAACATCAATCATCTGAAACATCCCCCTTTCATTTGGTAGTTGAATGCTGCCTTCTTAGTGATATATTTGAATATCTGAAAGCTGAATATTCATTAAAAATAGGTGGAAATGTGTAGCTATTTGTTTATTGTCCTCGTTTATTTACTGTATTTTACTTACTTACTTGGTATTTATTTACTTACATGGTAGGACATGCTACCATGCGCGTTTTCTTTCTCTAGTCTTTCTTTTATTCCAGATATTTTTCATCTCATTGCAATTTATAAAAAATAACAGTTTCGAGGTTTTACTGCCCTAATAAATTATTAGATACAATTTAAAGACAAAGGATCTGTTATACTGGCATAAGTTTGAAGTAAAATGAGTGCACTTAAGGAAATGAACATGGGACTGATAATATTGACTTTACAGAAGATTTCTTGCAGTTCTTCTTGGCAAGTTACTCAAGCAAGGATTATACTATATATTAACAATAATTTTCCTTTCATATTTTTCTTAACACTTTGTTTCCTTCACAGTGTCTTTTGTCCAAACATTCTTTAACACTGCATTTTGTTGTAGTTCATATCCAGAAAGCTAAGTTATTTTGCACCTCTCTTCTTTTCAGTGGAAAAGCAGAGGAAGGGAGAAAGGTGGGCCAAATCAATTTTTTTGGTATACCTCTTCTTTTTTATGCATACGTGCATGGCAAGTGATATTTGCCAGCATAAATATATTAGATTTCACACATAATCTTAATCATAGTTTTCAGAAATAAGATGAGACTTCTTGACTGCTTGCAACTTATTCTTCACTGTATCTTGAGGGATTTCTCTTTCTGTAATTATTGCCCATTTCCAAAGTTTCCTCTCCAATAACTACTTTGGCATATTTCCCATCTTTTTTCTTTCTGTAGGAAAGTCTATTGTTAGATTTTATATAAAAGTACTTGAAAAATATTTTCAATTTTCAACTTGTATGTTCTTGGACTTATTGAAAGCTGCTCACTAAAGTAAATGGGAAAATAGATACTCAGGTATATGTTTCTGGTATTTTTCATTAGATTTATTTCCAAGATGTGAATAGTGACTATGCTTTACAAGAGTAAGAAACATCAGGCTCTCAATTTTTGCTTTTATAACAATACTGTGAGAAAAGTGAATATGAGGAAACTGCTTATTAATAAGCAACTACTTTATTTTGTATTATACTTGGAATTTCTTATAGTAACTCTCAGGAGTATAAATTGAGTTTTGTGAGGAACTATAAACTTATGTCATTGCTTGGAATAACAGAGGTAAAATAACTCAGAAAATTGTCTCTGCTGACTCCTTGAATAGAAAGATTCTGTTTCTCCTGTTTAATGAATCCCTTTGCACATCTATTTCCATGGATGTCTTCACTGCTCATAAATACCTCTAAGAATGAACCTATTTTACCCAACATATTATTTTTTAATCCCTTTCTATTATTCATGCAGTAGTCTGTATTTTGTTTTGTTGGACAATATTGCAATTCAGGTTTTGGTGTTCTGTTTTTTTGTGTTTTTTAAACAATATTAAGAATTTATTTAAAATACATAGTTTGTACTGTTAAATTGGGGGTAAATGAATATTGATGCCTTCCATAATCTTCTAATTGTCATGGTCTCAGCAACATCATGAATTACTGGAAGATTTAACGTGGTGGTTATTTATTCTTTTATTCTGCTTAGAATAACCTTTATGCATAGCTCTATTGGTAAACAGCAGAAAGTAGATGTTAAGAGTCCTAGTTTCAGCTTCATTTTCTATTACTGATTTGCTCTGCTCCTTTACTCCAAATTACACCTACAGGTCAACTTAATCAGAAGGAAATGTAATGGAGGGATCAAGGCATATTGTTATGTCTCAAGAGACACATTTGTTGTATTTCAAGTTGTTTCAATTTGATGTAGAAGTAAATAGAAACTTTTCCATATGAGTTCAGTAGTCAGAACTAGTGAGATCCAAAAGCCACGTCTTTGACATGCGGCCACAAGATATAACCAGTTATCCTACCTTTAACACATTATCCTGAAAAGCAGATTAGGATTCATCCTTGACCTTCATTTGTTGTTGTTTTGGTGTTTTGGTGGTTTTTTTTTTTCTGATTAGAGGAGTGTGCTGATCAGGTTATAAATTGATCTGGCAGTATTTACAAAGTGGTATTTGAACAGAATTTGCAAGAAAAGAAGTATTTTCTTATATAACGTTAGTACATTTTCTTTGCAGCCCTCAGTTTTGAAAAAATAATAAAGTGAAAAACCCTGAAGAAATAATCTCTTCCGAGAAAAGGTGCTGAGTGGTTCACTGAGAGACAAGTCCATATCTAGTTTCAAACTGCCTATTATAAGTAGTCCCATCTCCTTCCGAACCCCTTTGAGTTACAGACACAGTTGGAGAATCAGAGTTTAATCTCTATTTTTCTCCAATGCTTGGATGATGCAGGAACTGCTTGTGACTCAGTACAGCAGCACAAACTCTGTCTTCATCTTACGTAAAAGATCCAGGCTGCATGAAAGCAGGAGCATTACATAAGCAGCTAGAATTTCAGGGTGAAAAAGCTTGTCAAAGAATCAAATCAACAGGGAAGGTAAGAAATATCAGTGACCATTACAACAAGATGATCTTACAGAGATTCATCTTTTGTCTCATGGAAAGTGGGATTTTCTTAGTTCCCAAGTGATTTCAAAGAGGCAGGTACCTTTCATTGCACAATCAAGGACTGTCTTTCACTGAGACACTGAGGTGACTCATTTAGGCTCCAGTGTTAAAAGGAAGAAACAGCTCTTTGTTTCTGTATCCTTCCTATAGACATTATCATAAATAAATATATAAATATAAACTGCCCAGAATTAGTATAGACTAAGAAAGCTCTGTGGAGGTTGCTAGGCAGCCGAGGCCAAAGGAATAGAAAGCAGTTGGGTCTTTGAAAAGCAGAATCAGTGACGTATGGGTTATTTGGAGTCACCATTTACTCCATTGTCTTTTGTCATAAACAAGAAGCCGTGAAATTTATATTTCTTTAGTAAATGAGCAGTGATTTTATAAGATTTGAAATAAAAGATCTGTTTTGTATTTCATGCCTGTAAGTGTTTACAAGCTATGAAATTATATGTATGATAATGATTTATAAAGTTTATTTTTTCATTGATTTAAATAGAATAGGCCCAATTTATCCAGGCTATAACTTGAAAATAATTTAGCAGGGTAATTATTTTTAAATTTTTTGTCTCATTTGCATCACGATTTACATTCAATTCTCCAAGGTAGGTTCAAATGCTTAGGGGTATTTCTCATCATCAAGAAGTGTGTGTTTTGCTGCTGCTAAAGATAGGTGAAAAATATCCTTTTTATCATCATGCCCTGGATGTATGTTGAAGCTACTCATTATAGAAATATAGCAGTAACACACACACCCTTCATATTACTGTTAAGCATTTAAAAATGCAGTAGGCATTCCTAATAGGCAAGATCTTCATATGCGAGATTAGATGATCACATTGGCTAATTGCTTCCTTTGAAATCTCTTCTGGTATTTGTGTGTTAAAGTCTTCCTAAAATTAACTGTGCTTTCAGCGACTGTGTTACACATGCAAGTATGATGAGGGAATAGCATATCTTACAACTCCTACCTTCTCTGACAGTATAATGACAGCTCCTCCATATCATATTTTGATCTGCATTACTTATTTCTCAATGTGTTTAGATTAGCATGTCTCTAGAAGATTAAATTGATGTATCACAGATTTTCAAAATGTATTTCTTTCACAGGGTGAATGCTGTGCGGTGGTCCAGGCAACTCTGTGGAACATTCTCCAATGGACTAGTAAGATGAGAAGATCCAAGAGTAGTTTGGGGAACAAGGAGAAACATCACCTCTCATGACGGTAAACCTACCAAAAAGGTAATTCATGCTAGACTGTTTTTGCACAGCCTACTATTAAAGCTCATAGATGTACAGCAGAAAACAGTAGGGAATGCTGTTTTAATTTTCACACTAAGGCCTCTGACTTTCTATCTCTTTCCTTGTGTGAGGGAGAATTCAGAAGCTATATCTTACAGGACTTTTGTTGCTTTCCTTTGAACATGTTTAATAACATAAATAAGAAGTTTACAGCGACTTACCAAAAAAATTCCTTATTAGACTCATGAAAATGACAGCAATATAAGCCATATGAAAAATTAGAATACCAGAATATTTGTTTACAAGAAGATTTAGAAGCTTTATTTTTACCTGTACAGAATCTTGTTAGGTTGACATATTTCATTCTTTTCTCAGAAACTTATCTGGTGTCTTTTTGTCTTCCTCTCCTGAACGTTAACTGTGGATATTTTTATTGCTAACATTTAAGAAAGTCAAGAGAATGTGAAAACTATTGATCTGTAGCCCCTCAGCATTACTATTCTTCCTTTGTTCAGCCAAAAAGTACCAGTCAGTGAACATTAAATCTCTCTGTTGTCCCAAAAGCTCATCTATATGGAATATATATAAGCCTAGTTAATTTTTACTACGTCCCTGCTACATACGTATTTATTGGTCTTCAGATAAAATTAAGTTTATTAAACACACACATTTTGTGTACTCATCCTTAACTAATTCTGTCCTATGATGTGTTACACAGTATCTGATAAGCTGATTTTTAGTGCTTTCATTTATTTATGTGCCTTAATATATGCAGAGACTAAATATATTAACAATGGGAAATTATACATCTAAATTAACTGGTGGAAAATCAAATGGGATCTTCGATGCAGAAGTTTTCAAAAGGTACTATCCCCACATCTTGATATATCCAAAAAGCACAAAACATCATTTAATTAGGAAAGCTTTTTCTTAGGAGTATGTATGATTTAGTTGATTGAATAGTAGGTAAGGCTTTCAAATATCTCTGGGAAATACCTTCCCTTTTGTTGCTAGTAAATTCTGTCCAGCTCTCTGGTACTTATTAATTAAAACCATCCAGAGATTGCACTACTACAGTTCATAAATTGCTTCCCTGCTTCAACAAGTTTGGCAGCTACTGGAAAACAGGCCGATCTACACTCACATAACTCAGTGAGAGTTTTGTCTCTGTATAGTCTACAGCTGGAAGAAAATGAGAGTCTAAATCATTCAGCTCTGAAAAGAATAGAAACTGCTTTTAGGAGAAGTTATGAAAATATGTGTGTATGGGAACTGTTGAGTCCGAACATGGCCTGAACCACTGATTGATCACCTGAGGAAAGGACTGAGTCAGTCGTGGGAGCACAGGTGAAGGCAATTCACCTGCGTGGAAGGAGTGGAGCCTGGCTGCACTTCTCCTAGACCCCACTTAAGGGCTGACTGCCACTGGGGAAGGTTTTTTTTGTGGAGATTCCTCCTTTGTGGAGTCCTTCCTGCAAGCCTAGATCGTCAGGTACAGGTGAGCATTCCTTCCCTGTTTGTTTCTTTTCCCATTTTTACCATGATAATCTTTCTTGCTGTAACACCAACTGTAACAACGTGACAGAAGAACTTGTTGGTATGGGAAAGAGAAGTTTTGCCTCCCAGATTTGGACAAACTGGTTGCAAGTTGTCATATATTTGATTTCCACACAAGATTCTCCAGACCTAATTTTTTTTTAACCACATAGAAGAAATGAGTTAATAAGTTTTTTTATAATGAGGATACACAAGTGTTTAGGGGAAAAAAAAAAAGTATGAATTGGTCTCAAGCAATTTACTGTAAACAAAAGACAAGACTAGCTTATTAATGGTTGGAATCATTGAAATTCAAGCTGCAGTTCTAAGATGTGCTTCAAATATTTTCTTGGTGCATTTTTCCGCCTATAAAATAGGTAGTCTGAAAATGCTGTAATTTGTGCTTGCTCTTGCTTTTGTGATAAATCTAACCTCAATGTCATAGAAAGCAAATTGGGTGTCAGACTTTACACTAGGTAAAGAAACTACAGCTCTTCAGGGTAAATAGGGAAAGAAAGTGAAACTAGATGTGATGACATCGAGATCTATTTATCTGCAACATACTAAATAGAATTTGAACTTAGCCACCCTTACTCTTAATGTGAAACAGGATGGACTGGCATTTCAGTCTCTGATTCACTGGTTAAATTGTGTCAAGTGGACTAGCCTTGGAAAGGCGATTCTGACTGAAAGAAGGAGAAGATAAGAATGTTCTTTTAATGTAATTTGAGATCTTGATGGTAAAAGGTAATTTATATTTTTGGTGAAAGCCTTTTGTTTTCCTCTGAGTCAGTGATACTGATCTGATATCAGTACTAAATATCTCTACTTGAATATATATACATATATATATACTTACTGTTTTGTTTTTATGTGATAAATACTTATTTTTGGTCTATTTTAAGATGAGTGGTCTTAACTTTTATTTTCGTGGCAATCACTGTTCTCCAGCAATGTTATCTGTAAGTAAATTCATAGCAGTCAATGCTTGTTCTGTTTTTCCTCTTTCTTCCTAACAGCTAAGTAATCAGTTTTGTTCTACATTTTGTTGAACAGTTTAAGCCTTTCAAATTAAATGAAAGGACATACAGCTTCAAACGTAATGAAAAACTCCATTTGAGATTGAGGTGTGTCTCAGAGTTTGGAACAGCAGAAGAAATGAGATATTCAAATCAAATCAGAAGTGCTTTCAACCTGATAACAATTAACATAGACATATTTAGGAAAAAAAGCCTTTATTTTGAATGGCTATAGATACTGACCTATGTTTTCACAACTAGGTACTACAGTCCAAAACAGGGATATTTTTTCATGCAAGATTATGTAGATAGTGTCTATTGCTAGCAGGCAAAGGGAATGCTCAACTAAGTAATTTTTTCATATTCTTTGTGTCTATGAATGTAAACTATAAAGCTTCTATTCTGTTCAGTATTTTTTCTTTTAACAAAGAGAGCTCTAGGAATTTGTCTTAAAGAAACCTCAGACAGAATCAAAGTCAATAACCCTCAAGAAACAAATGAGGAGAGGAAAATTTAGTAGAAATTCCTTTAATATTTCACAAAAAGTCCTAAAGATTGTGACATGAGAAGAACAGACCATTGGATCTTTGGAATGATCTGAGAAAAACATGAAGAAGCTAGACAGGAGTAGGCAGTACTCACTGGCATTATTCATTGCCTCCCCACAGCTGAGAATACTGTATGTAATGAATTTTATATATTTTGTGAGGAAAATGGATATCTTCATGTTTAAACTTGCTGTGTCAAATTCTTTCTTCGTAAAAAAAAACTGGTAGAAAAGCTCACCTCTTCAGTGTGTCAGAATGCAAGCTGTTCAGTGTCTCTCTTTTCTCCTTCTCTGGAGCTACTGCTTTGTTCATCTGCCACTTCTGTTTTTGATTGTTATTTCTCCGTTACTATTTCATTTATTTCTTACCTATTGAACTACTCATCCTGTATTTCTCAAGTCATGTTATGACAGGTATCAGAAAACTTTTCTTCTGGTACTGAAATTTGGAATATTTATTCTTTACAAGGTTGAACGTTCTGGTATCATCCTGAATGTTCTGTTTGCTGTCCTGTTCTAGGCTCCTGTACTGTAACTTTTAACACTTATTTTAGTGGAAATTTTGCTTTGACTGCAGTGGAGTGGAACATGGTAGAAAAGTTGATCCCAATAAGTGGCACTCAGTAACATTTGTTTACTTAATTCCTTTGGCACACAACTTTGTTTTATATCTGATGTATGGTATTAATCTTTATTGTGAAGAACCTGATCAATAACAGTAACCAGACTTGCATATTACCAGATGAACTGCCTGGACTAAGCAATATGATTACTAAAAGAGCAAAGTGAAACTGATCTACATACACAAGGTGTCTGACTACAGTTAGAACTCCCCAGGGCATATAAAGCCGTATCAAAGTAACTGGAGAAGAAAGTTATTCTTGTGGAGGTGTGTGAAGGTTGCATGATTTTATGAAGCATGACTTTATGGCCTTTGAGCAAAACCACACTGAAAGGCATTTACATGAAGGGTATAATTAAACTTAATTGTAAGCATAAAATAGAACAACATTATGATTAGATGATATTTTATGTTGCATTTGTTTGTTTGTTTTGCCTTGCCATTCTCTGTTTGCTTGTACTGTGTAAAACTTTAAAGTTTTGCTAGATATAGCTTCTTTTTATTTTTAAACCTCTCTGGTGTTGAGGATTAAGATGAATCACAGTGAAACCACAGGACCGACTACATTGCTAGAGGTAAAAATTCAGAAGAACATGTATGCAGGTAAATAAAAGGGAGCTGCACCTTGAGACACAGGTGCTGAGAATGCTTCCTGCTGCTCTGCAAAGCATCAGTATGGAGACTGTCTGCCAAATATCAGCCTCTGGGAAGGAATTCCCTCTGGCAGAACTATCCTGTGTTCTTCCTGCTTAGGAACAGATGGCAAAGAGACAGCTCACATCACCAGGCAGACCTGGATATAATGTTTTTCTCTGGAATGAAGATTACTTTAATCCAGTAAAATGTTCTGTTCAGCCATACGGGTATTTGAACTGATTTAAGTCAAATATTGTTTTGGGGGCAATACCTACATTTTATTTTGTATACACAAAGCTGATTTTATATGACATAAAATGTAGTAGCTGACGTAAGTGAATTGAAACGAAGTTGAGAATGTATTTCTGATGTGCTGAAGCAGTACTTTATACTTTATACCAAATAGGCTATTATATACTGCCATTACATGTATATAGTGTGGCACCAAAAGTAATGCCTCCAATTTAATTCTGTAGAAATTATAGTTGATACAGAGAGCACAATAACACTATTAAATAGAATAAATGCTCAACTACAAAACACTACTTTTCAGCACAGTTAACACCATTAGCTGTGCATTTTCACCAGTGATGAACAAGAGCCTGCATATCATACCCGTGAAAAACTGCATCAGTGGAGG